CCATTACAGGTCATGTGTGTGGAAAGGGTGAGGCCAACTCAATATTGAACCCTAAGGACTAAGACTGGGAGTTCATTAAAGGTCACGTGTGTGGAGAGGGCGGGGCCAACTCTATGTCGAACCCTACGGACTAAGATTGGGGGCCATTAAAGGTCACGTGTGTGGAGAGGGCGGGGCCAACTCTATGGCGAACCCTACGGACTAAGATTGGGGGCCATTAAAGGTCATGTGCGTGGAAAGGCCAGAGACCAATACTTGGGGCAATATAGTTTATTTTAGTTTAAATTTTTTTCTTTTAATTTTATGTTTTTAATTATTTTTATTTCATATTTTTATTTGTCGATATAATTTTTTCTTTTTCCGTTTTCTTTTTTAGATTTTTTTTATTTTTATTATTATTTTTATTATTTATTTTAGTTTTAGATTTTTATTTGTAGATATATATATTTTTTTAAGTTTTTTTGTTTTTAGATTTTTTTACATTTTTATTTATAATTGTTTACTTTGTTTTATTTTTATTCAGTTGCATTAAACGATCGATTGGATGGTCAGATCAATATGTGCCACCACAGGCGTTCATTAGCAATCTGACCCGATCGTTCACTGCCATCAACAAAGGGATGCAAACCACTGAGATCCTTCACAACACTCAATCACAGACTCGGTTATTTAAAGCTGACCTCGCCATACAATGTGATTGTACAGAGAACGCTGAGCCAGTCCCATCAGTCTCTGTACCAGAGGAGCTTACGCTCTAATGTCCCCTCCCCCACAGTCCCCTCAGTCTCTGTACCAGAGGAGCTTACGCTCTAATGTCCCCTCCCCCACAGTCCCATCAGTCTCTGTACCAGAGGAGCTTACGCTCTAATGTCCCCTCCCCCACAGTCCCATCAGTCTCTGTACCAGAGGAGCTTACGCTCTAATGTCCCCTCCCCCACAGTCCCATCAGTCTCTGTACCAGAGGAGCTTACGCTCTAATGTCCCCTCCCCCACAGTCCCATCAGTCTCTGTACCAGAGGAGCTTACGCTCTAATGTCCCCTCCCCCACAGTCCCATCAGTCTCTGTACAAGAGGAGCTTACGCTCTAATGTCCCCTCCCCCACGGTCACATCAGTCTCTGTACCAGAGGAGCTTACGCTCTAATGTCCCCTCCCCCACGGTCCCATCAGTCTCTGTACCAGAGGAGCTTACGCTCTAATGCCCCCCCCCCCCCACAATCACATCAACCTCTGTACCAGAGAAGCTTACACTCTAATGCCCCCTCCCCCACAGTCACATCAGTCTCTGTACAAGAGGAGCTTACACTCTAATGCCCCCTCCCCCACAGTCCCATCAGTCTCTGTACAGAGGAGCTTACACTCTAATGTCCCCTCCCCCCACAGTCACATTAGTCTCTGTACAGAGGAGCTTACACTCTAATGTCCCCTCCCCCACAGTCACATCAGTCTCTGTACAGAGGAGCTTACACTCTAATGCCCCCTCCCCCACAGTCCCATCAGTCTCTGTACAGAGGAGCTTACACTCTAATGTCCCCTCCCCCACAGTCACATCAGTCTCTGTACCAGAGGAGCTTACACTCTAATGTCCCCTCCCCCACAGTCCCATCAGTCTCTGTACAGAGGAGCTTACACTCTAATGTCCCCTCCAGGGGCGGACTGACAACTCATGGGGGCCCCAGGCAATAGGAGATCATGGGGCCCCTGTGTCCTTTCCCAAACTCAAAAAAGCCTATGAAAAAGGTACCAGGGGCATCTCATGGGGCCCCCTACTGACCCCGGGCCCTCGGGCAGTGCCCGATTTTCCAAATGGTCAGTCCGCCCCTGGTCCCCTCCCCCACAGTCACACACTATTATTATTATACATGTATATAGCTCTGACATATAAGGAGGGGACAGTCTGCCCTCTAGTGGTCATACTCCAATATTACAGACGGGTGCAGATCTCTCTATAAGGATGACTATTATTATTATTATTATACAGTATTTATAAAGCACCAATAGTTCACTCAGCGCTGTACATTACAAAGGGGGACAGAACATGTGACAGAACAATACCAATACAATGCAAAACATGAGGGGATCGAGGGCCCTGCTCCTTGGAGCTTACAATCTAGGAGGGAGGGGATGGTGGCACAGGAGGAGATAGCTGTGGGGGGATGGAGTGGTAGGAAGAGTGGAGGAGGTCGGCAAGTTAGCAGGGGGTGGGGTAGGCTTCCCTGAAGAGATGGGTTTTCAGGGTGCGCCTAAAGGAGAGGAGAGTAGGTGATAATCTGATGGGTTGGGGCAGGGAGTTCCAGAGGATGGGTGACACCCTGGAGAAGTCCTGGAGGCGGGCATGGGAGGAGGAGACCAGGGAACTAGAGAGAAGGAGGTCTTGTGAGGAGCGGAGTGTGCGTCTTGGGCGGTACTTGGATATTAGGTCAGTGATGTAGTTCGGGGCAGTATGGTGGACGGCTTTGTACGTCAGTGTTAGGATTTTGAATTTGATCCGTTGCGCAATCGGAAGCCAGTGGAGGGATTGGCAGAGGGGGGTGGAGGACACTGAGTGGAGGCCAGTGGAGGGATTGGCAGAGGGGGGTGGCGGAGATGGAGCGGTTGGAAAGGTGAATGAGTCTGGCAGCCGTATTCAGGATGGACTGAAGCGGGGATAGCCAGTGGCGAGGCAGGCCAGTGAGGAGGGAGTTGCAGTAGTCGTGATATGATGAGGGAGTGGATGAGCTGTTTAGTGGTTTCTGGGGTTAGGAACGTGCGGATTTTGGCGATGTTGCGGAGGTGGAGTCTGCATGTTGCGGAGGTGGAGTCTGCATGTTGCGGAGGCGGAGTCTGCATGTTGTGGAGGTGGAGTCTGCACGAGTTTGTTAAAGATTGGACTTGGGGCTGGAAGGATAGGTTGGAGTCCGGAATGACACCAAGTACTCTGGCCTGCGGGGTGGGTTTGATGGTGGCGTTGTTGGATGTGATGGAGAAGTCAATGGGGGGTGGGGTTCGGGCTGGGGGGGAAGACAAGAAACTTGGTTTTGGAGAGGTTCAGTTTAAGGAAGTGGAGCGACATCCAGTCTGATATGTCGCTCAGTAGGTGTGTGATTCGGGCTGAGACCGAGGGGGTGAGGTGGGGGGTTGAGAGATAGATTTGTGTGTCGTCGGCATAGAGGTGGTAGTTGAAGCCGTGAGAGTGTATGAGTTGGCCAAGGGAGGAGGTGTAGATGGAGAAGAGAAGGGGCCCGAGGACAGAGCCTTGAGGGACCCCAACAGAGAGGGGGAGTGAGGGGGAGGTGGTAGAATTATAGGTAACGCTGAAAGAGCGTTGTGACAGGTAGGATGAGAGCCAGGAGAGATCAGAATCTCTGAGGCCGAGGGAGTGTAGTTTTTTGAGGAGGAGGGGGTGGTCGACTGTGTGGAAGGCCGCAGAGAGGTCAAGGAGTAGGAGCACTGAATAGTGGCCATTAGCTTTGGCGGTTAGAAGGTCGTTGGAGAGTTTGAGTAAGGCGGTTTCGGTGGACTGTAGGGGACTAGACCGGATCTCACATGTATGGGATGATTGAAGGCAGTGTTGGGACAAGGTCATTTAGAGCCCAGGGTAAACAGGCCAAATTGAGCAACCCCCCCCCCCAAGATGTAAGAGCATCATCAGCAAAACCCCCCCAAATAAAAAAATAAAATTGAGCACTAGTCTGCATGCTTACCCCCTAAGCATAAGTTCACCCTCCTCCAAGTACAAATACACCCCCCTGCTGCAATCCCACCTACCAGGACAAATCCTTGCCCCCCCCCTTACCCCCATCCCCCCTAGCTCAACACCTCTCTCTTTCCCATATGCCCCCATCATAAATCACCCATGTCCCCCCCAACAAAATCTCCTCTCCATAGAAAAAATCCTCTTACCCCTACTCCAAATCCCCCACCCCTCCTCCAATCCCCCATCCTAGCACAAATTCAACCCCCCCCCCAAAAAAAAAAAAAAATTTCTCCTAGCATAAATTCCCCCCCCCTACCATATTACCTTTTCTAGCACACAAACCCCACATCCTAGCACAACCCCCCCCCCCCCCGAAAAAAAAATAGCCCATCCTAGCACAAATCCCCCTCCCCTAAAAAAAAAATTCTCCGAGCACAAATCCCCCCCCCCAAAAAAAAAGCCCATCATAGCACACATCCTCCCCAAAGAAAAAGACCATCCTAGCACAAATCCCCCCCCCCCCAAAAAAAAAAATGCCCATCCTAGCACAAATTCCCCTGCCCCCCCCCAAAAAAAAATATTCTCCTAGCACAAATCCCTCTGCCATATTACATTTTCTAGCACAAATCCCCCTTCCTAGCAAAAATGCTCTTCCCCCATCCCCCCTCCCAACACAAATCCCCTCAAATCACAACTCCCCAAAATGTCCCCTCCTAGAACAATTCTTACCCCCTACCGTCCCCCAAATTCCCCTTTCTTAGCACAGATCCCCTCCCCCCAATATCCTCGTTATACCCCCCCACCACAGTGTCCAGGGCAGCCGCCCCTCCTGCCCGCCCCGGTTCTGATTGAAGGAGACCAAGTATCCAGGCAGACTTGATTGGCCCAGATTTATCCTGTTTCCTGCATAGCAGTTGGCTGTCAAATGCCATTACAGATCCCAGTTTATAATTTCCTTTACAGCTGACCTCCGATCTTGCACAGGTGTACTGGCTCCTCCCCTCCAGTCCTGCACAGGTGTACCGGCTCCTCCCCTTCAGTCTTGCACAGGTGTACCGGCTCCTCCCCTTCAGTTTTGCACAGGTGTACTGGCTCCTCCCCTTCAGTCTTGCACAGGTGTACCGGCTCCTCCTCTCCAGTCCTGCGCAGGTGTACCGGCTCCTCCCCTTCAGTCTTGCACAGGTGTACTGGCTCCTCCCCTTCAGTCTTGCACAGGTGTACCGGCTCCTCCCCTTCAGTCTTGCACAGATGTACCGGCTCCTCCCCTACAGTCTTGCACAGGTGTATCGGCTCCTCCCCTTCAGTCTTGCACAGGTGTACCGGCTCCTCCCCTTCAGTTTTGCACAGGTGTTCTAGCTCCTCCCCTTCAGTCTTGCACAGGTGTACCCGCTCCTCCCCTTCAGTCTTGCACAGGTGTACCGGCTCCTCCCCTTCAGTCTTGCACAGGTGTACCGGCTCCTCCCCTTCAGTCTTGCACAGATGTGCCGGCTCCTCCCCTTCAGTCTTGCACAGATGTACCGGCTCCTCTCCTTCAGTCTTGCACAGATGTACCGGCTCCTCCCCTTCAGTCTTGCACAGGTGTACCGGCTCCTCCCCTTCAGTTTTGCACAGGTGTACCGGCTCCTCCCCTTCAGTCTTGCACAGGTGTACCGGCTCCTCTCCTTCAGTCTTCCACAGATGTACCGGCTCCTCCCCTTCAGTCTTGCACAGGTGTACCGGCTCCTCCCCTTCAGTTTTCCACAGGGTGTACCGGCTCCTCCCCTTCAGTCTTGCACAGGTGTACCGGCTCCTCCTCTCCAGTCCTGCGCAGGTGTACCGGCTCCTCCCCTTCAGTCTTGCACAGGTGTACTGGCTCCTCCCCTTCAGTCTTGCACAGGTGTACCGGCTCCTCCCCTTCAGTCTTGCACAGATGTACCGGCTCCTCCCCTCCAGTCTTGCACAGATGTAGCGGCTCCTCTCCTTCAGTCTTCCACAGATGTACCGCCTCCTCCCCTTCAGTCTTCCACAGATGTACCGGCTCCTCCCCTTTAGTCTTGCACAGGTGTACTGGCTCCTCCCCTTCAGTCTTGCACAGGTGTACCGGCTCCTCCCCTTCAGTTTTCCACAGGTGTACCGGCTCCTCCCCTTCAGTCTTGCACAGGTGTACCGGCTCCTCCCCTTCAGTCTTGCACAGGGTGTACCGGCTCCTCCCCTTCAGTCTTGCACCAGCTCCTCCCCTTCAGTCTTGCACAGATGTGCCGGCTCCTCCCCTTCAGTCTTGCACAGGTGTAACGGCTCCTCCCCTTAAGTCTTGCACAGATGTAGCGGCTCCTCTCCTTCAGTCTTCCACAGATGTACCGCCTCCTCCCCTTCAGTCTTCCACAGATGTACCGGCTCCTCCCCTTTAGTCTTGCACAGGTGTACTGGCTCCTCCCCTTCAGTCTTGCACAGGTGTAACGGCTCCTCCCCTTAAGTCTTGCACAGATGTAGCGGCTCCTCTCCTTCAGTCTTCCACAGATGTACCGCCTCCTCCCCTTCAGTCTTCCACAGATGTACCGGCTCCTCCCCTTTAGTCTTGCAGAGATGTACCGGCTCCTCCCCTTCAGTCTTCCACAGATGTACCGGCTCCTCCCCTTCAGTCTTGCACAGGTGTACCGGCTCCTCCCCTTCAGTCTTGCACAGATGTACCGGCTCCTCCCCTTCAGTCTTGCACAGATGTACCGGCTCCTCCCCTTCAGTCTTCCACAGATGTGCCGGCTTCTCTCCTTTAGTCTTGCACAGGTGTATCAGCTCCTCCCATTCAGTCTTGCACAGGTGTACTGGCTCCTCCCCTTCAGTTGTGCACAGGTGTAAAGGCTCCTCCCCTTCAGTGTTGCACAGTTGTATCGGCTCCTCCCCTTCAGTCTTGCACAGGTGTACTGGCTCCTACCCTTCAGCCTTGCACAGGTGTACCGGCTCCTCCCCTTCAGTTTTGCACAGGTGTTCTAGCTCCTCCCCTTCAGTCTTGCACAGGTGTACCCGCTCCTCCCCTTCAGTCTTGCACAGGTGTACCGGCTCCTCCCCTTCAGTCTTGCACAGGTGTACCTGCTCCTCCCCTTCAGTTTTCCACAGATGTGCCGACTCCTCCCCTTTCGTCTTGCACAGGTGTATCAGCTCCTCCCCTTCAGTCTTGCACAGGTGTACCGGCTCCTCCCCTTCAGTCGTGCACAGGTGTAAAGGCTCCTCCCCTTCAGTCTTGCACAGGTGTACCAGCTCCTCCCCTTCAGTCTTGCACAGGTGTACCAGCTCCTCCCCTTCAGTCTTGCACAGGTGTACCGGCTCCTCCCCTTCAGTCTTGCACAAGTGTACCAGCTCCTCCCCTTCAGTCTTCCACAAGTGTACTGGCTCCTCCCCTTCAGTCTTCCACAAGTGTACTGGCTCCTCCCCTTCAGTCTTGCACTATTGTACTGGCTCCTCCCCTGGACTGAAATGGCTTACTCTGATTTCACTGCAGACTGTGAGCTTCTCACAACGTGCATTAGAAGCTTCAGCAAGTCAGATAGAACCCTCCTCTGATCCTTGAGGACGTCATCTAGCTCTTTCCACCCTATCCTCCCCCTTTCATTCATTGGATTTTAGTTCTTCCAATCATGGAGGCTTAACATGAACTTTAATGTCCCCCCATTCTTAGTCCGTAGGGTTCAATATTGAGTTGGCCCCGCCCTTTCCAGGCACATGAACTTTAATGTCCCCCCATTCTTAGTCCGTAGGGTTCAATATTGAGTTGGCCCCGCCCTTTGCAGCTATAACAGCTTCAACTCTTCTGGGAAGGCCGTCCACAAGGTTTAGGAGGGTGTCTATGGGAAGGTTGGACCATTCTTCCAGAAGCACATTTGTCAGGTCAGGCACTGATGTCGGGGGAGGGGGCCTGGCTCGCAGTCTCCGCTCTAATTCATCCCAAAGGTGTTCTATGGGGTTGAGGTCAGGACTCTGTGCAGGACAGTCAAGTTCCTCCACCCCAAACTGGCTCCTCCATGTCTTTATGGACCTTGCATTGTGCACTGGTGGGCAGTCATGTTGGAACAGGAAGGGGCCATCCCCAAACTCTTGACACAAAGTTGGGAGCATGAAATTGTCCAAAATGTCTTGGTATGCTGACGCCTTAAGAGTTCCCTTCACTGGAACTAGGGGGCCAAGCCCAAGCCCTGAAAAACTACCCCACACCATAACCCCCCCTCCACCAAATTATTAGTCATGCACCCCACAAATCTGGCCTTTATAGAAGAGTGACAAGAAGAAAGCCATTGTTAAAAGAAAACCATCAGAAGTCCCGTTTGCAGTTTGTGAGAAGCCATGTGGGGGACACAGCAAACATGTGGAAGAAGGGGCTCTGGTCAGAGGAGACCAACATGGAACTTTGTGGCCTAACAATCCATCCACCGTGAAACATGGTGGTGGCAGAATCATGTGGTGGGGATGCTTTTCTTCAGCAGGGACAGGGAAGCTGGTCAGAGTTGATGGGAAGATGGATGGAGCCAAATACAGGGCAATCTTAGAAGAAAACCTGTTAGAGTCTGCTAAAGACCTGAGACCGGGGCGGAGGTTCCCCTTCCAGCAGGACAACGACCCCAAACATCCAGCCAGAGCTACAATGGAAGGGTTCAGATCAAAGCATCTTCATGTGTTAGAATGGCCCAATCACAGTCCAGACCCAAATCCAATGGAGAATCTGTGGCCAGACCTGAAAATTGCTGTTCCCAGACGCTCTCCATCCAATCTGACAGCTTGAGGGATTCTGCAAAGAAGAACGGGCAGAAATGTCCTCTCTCTAGATGTGCAAAGAGACATCCCCAAAAAGACTTGCAGCTGGAATGGCAGCCAAAGGGGGTCCTACAAAGTATTGACTCCGGGGGGGCCGAATACAAATCCCGCCACACTTTTCACAGATTTATTGGTCACAAATGTTGGAAATCATTTCTCATTTTCCTTCCACTTCACAATGATGTGCCACTTTGTGTCGGCCTATCACATCCAATCCCAATAAATACATTGTAACGTGACAACATGGGGGGGGATACATTGTAACATGACAACATGGGGGGGATACATTGTAACATGACAACATGGGGGGGATACATTGTAACATGACAACATGGGGGGGATACATTGTAACATGACAACATGGGGGGGGGGGAATACATTGTAACATGACAACATGGGGGGGGGGGGGGAATACATTGTAACATGACAACATGGGGGGGGGGGAATACATTGTAACATGACAACATGGGGGGGATACATTGTAACATGACAACATGGGGGGGGGAAATACATTGTAACATGACAACATGGGGGGGGGGGGGGAATACATTGTAACATGACAACATGGGGGGGGGATACATTGTAACATGACAACATGGGGGGGGGATACATTGTAACATGACAACATGGGGGGGGGAATACATTGTAACATGACAACATGGGGGGGATACATTGTAACATGAGAACATGGGGGGGGGAATACATTGTAACATGACAACATGGGGGGGGGATACATTGTAACATGACAACATGGGGGAGGGGAATACATTGTAACATGACAACATGGGGGGGGGGGGGGGGGGGGAATACATTGTAACATGACAACATGGGGGGGATACATTGTAACATGACAACATGGGGGGGGATACATTGTAACATGACAACATGGGGGAGGGGAATACATTGTAACATGACAACATGGGGGGGGGGATACATTGTAACATGACAACATGGGGGGGGGGAGATACATTGTAACATGACAACATGGGGGAGGGGAATACATTGTAACATGACAACATGGGGGGAGATACATTGTAACATGACAACATGGGGGAGGGGAATACATTGTAACATGACAACATGGGGGGGGGAGATACAATGTAACATGACAACATGGGGGAGGGGAATACATTGTAACATGACAACGTGTGGGGGGGGGGGAATACATTGCAACATGACAACATGGGGGACATTTCAAGGGGTATGAATTTTTTTTCAAGACACTGTATTGGTATATGGTATATGGTAATGGTGTCACCTATGTATGGTATATAATGGTGTCACCTATGTATGGTATATATAATGGTGTCACCTATGTATGGTATATAATGGTGTCACCTATGTATGGTATATAATGGTGTCACCTATGTATGGTATATAATGGTGTCACCTATGTATGGTATATAATGGTGTCACCTATGTATGGTGTATATAATGGTGTCACCTATGTAAGGTATATAATGGTGTCACCTATGTATGGTATATAATGGTGTCACCTATGTAAGGTATATAATGGTGTCACCTATGTATGGTATATAATGGTGTCACCTATGTATGGTGTATATAATGGTGTCACCTATGTAAGGTATATAATGGTGTCACCTATGTATGGTATATATAATGGTGTCACCTATGTAAGGTATATAATGGTGTCACCTATGTATGGTATATAATGGTGTCACCTATGTATGGTGTATATAATGGTGTCACCTATGTATGGTATATAATGGTGTCACCTATGTATGGTATATAATGGTGTCACCTACTATGGTATGGTATATAATTGTGTCACCTATGTATGGTATATAATGGTGTCACCTATGTATGGTATATAATGGTGTCACCTATGTAAGGTATATAATGGTGTCACCTATGTATGGTATATAATGGTGTCACCTATGTATGGTATATAATGGTGTCACACCTGTATTTTGAACTCCGTTCCCAGGGCAAGGGTTAGTGATTGATAAGACTCATACAGCTGGGAGTGCCGCCTGCTAATCGCTCTCACACACTACAAACAGAGAAATCTTACTGATCTCTGCCCCCCTGACTCCACTACACACAGCCAGATCCTCCGCTGACAGGCCTGGATGGAGGCCATGGGGTCTGGCCAATGTTAGATATACCAGAAATACAGTTCACATGCGCACATTTCAGCAGCAGTGAAAGGGTTAACACACTGAGAGTCATGGGGCTGTGTAAGGTGCCAATATATACAGAGTGAGAACAGAGTGTGTGTGTGTGTGTATGGGGGGGGGGGCAAAAGACAGAGAGAGAGAGGGGAGATGGGGATTGGGAGGGAGGGTAGGAGAAGAGAAAGAGAGAGGGTAGAAGGGGAGGGGAGGAGAGAGAGGAGAGTATAGAGAGAGGAGATGAAAGGGGAGTAGAGGAGAGGGAGAGATAGGAGGAGAGGAGAGAGAGATGGGGAGGGGGGGAGAAGAAAGAGAGGGGCGAGAGAAGGGAGATTCAGATGGGAGAGAGGAGGGGAGGAAAGGAGAAAGGATTAGAGAGGGGAGGAGAGGGGAGAGAGATGTGAGGAGGGAGGATTGAGGAAATGGGAGAGGGGAGGAGAGAGACATGGGAGAGGGGGAGGAGAGGAGAGAAGAGAAGAAACAGATGGGAGAGGGGAGGAGAAGAGAAGATAGATTGGAGAAGTTGAGGGGAGGAGAAACAGATGGGAGAAGAGTAGAAAGAGGAGAGATGGGAAAGAGGGGAGGAGAGGAGAAACAGACGGGAGAGGGGGAGAAGAGTGGGAGAAAGAGAGATGGGAGAGGGGGGGGAAAGGAGACAGAGGAGATGGGAAAGGGGGAGGAGAGGAGATAGAGAGAGGGGAGGAGAGGAAAAAGAGGGATGGGAGGGGGGGAGGAGAGGAGAGAGAGAATGGGAGAGGGAGTGGGGAAGAGAGGAGAGAGGGAGAGATGGGGGAAGGAAGGAGGAGAGGGGGAGATGGGAGAAGGAAGGAGAGGAGAGAGATATGGGAGAGGGGGGGTGGGAGAGTGAGGATGGGAGAGGGAGCGGGGGAGGAGAGGATGAGAGAGACTGGAAAAAGGAAGATGAGGAGAGAGTGGGAAAAGGAGAGGGGAGGAGAGGAAAAAGCTGGAGGATGAGGGAAGGGAGAGAGGATGGGGGGGGAGGGGGGGGAGAGGAGAGAGAGATTGGAGAAAGGAAAGGAGAGATGAGCGAGATTGGAGAAAATAGGGGAGAGGAGAGGAAAGTGAGATGGGAGAAAAGCGGAGGGGAGGGAGAGGAGGAGAGGAAAGATAAAGGAAAGAAGGAGGGGAAGGAGAGGGGGAGAGGGACAAAGAGATGGAGAGAGAGAGAGAGAGAGAGAGAAAGCAGGGAGGAAGGGAGGATGGAGAGAAGAGATGGGAAGAAAAGAGGAAAAATGAAGGAGGGAGGGGGAAGGAAGGAGAGGGGGGAGAGAGTTGGGAAAAGGAAGGAGAGATGAAAGAGGTGAGAAGAAGAAGGAAAGGAGAGGAGGAGGGAAAGGGAGAAGTGAGAGGAGAGTGGGGAGGGAGGGAAGGGGGGAGGGAAGGATGAGGGGAGGAGGAGATGGGAGGGAGAGGAGAGGAGGGGGAGG